TTGGTTTTTTTTGAGACAGGGTTTCTCTGTGTAGCTTTGCGCCTTTCCTGGAGCTCACTTGGTAGCCCAGGCTGGCCTCGAACTCACAAAGATCCGCCTGGCTCTGCCTCCCGAGTGCTGGGATTAAAGGCGTGCGCCACCACGCCCGGCAAATCAGCTAGATTTTAAAACAACAGTATCCAACTGTTGTCTCCATTAATAATTAAGCATTGAAAAATGTGTTAGCAAAAATTTACTATCATTTAAAATCTGTCAAAAATATCCAAAAGTTTTATTCTTATTTATAGATACTACAAATTTATTCTTAAAATCCTATGAATATGGCACCCTATATTTAAAATATACAAGTAAGTTATTCTTATATTATTAAAAATATTAACATTGATATGCTCAAATGAAAATATCTTAGTGAGATCCATTACTATATACAGTGAACAAATATCAATTAAAAACCATTGATTTTATATTTTACCTATACAAGAAACAAACTGCAACACTGAGTATTAAAACATACATTCAAAATCACTATTATTTTTAACATTTTAGGCTGTGCCCTACAAATACTTATGTAATTCTTAACAGTTGAGAGAGCATGCTAAGTTAAGGATAAAGGGTGTATCTATTTCTGGGGTTTCAGGTGTGACAAACTTCTAGTTATCGTTAAATACACGACACTTTGGTTCTTCCTCCCTCCTCCCATCTGAATGGGAAAATCTTAAGCATGTGTTTTATTTCTAGGTTAAAATGATTGGTCGTATGAGAGGCGTCTATGCACATCAGTCAAATAACATGCCTAGCCAGCTGCTGTGGAAAACTACTTAAACCTGTCTATCTTTGTCTCTGGAAGTTCCCTCCTGACATCTTGTTAAACCTGTGTAATTTTCTTTTGATTACAATGCAGCTAGGCTTTTGGTGCTTTCTCAATTAACATTTGTCAAAGCATCACAATCTTTAGCAAAAGTGTCAAATGTGCTGCCGAAGCAAGTCATGAAGAGAGAGCAGGGAACCAGAGGAAACTGAGAAAAGGGCAGAATGAAATGGTTTGGAGTTACACTACCTTACACATCCCCTGACACTATACTAATCAGTACACACGGAATCACTCAGATATGTATTAATACCACAATTACTGAGTGTTAGCTATGCTTTGGCAAAGAATAAGGCAATATTAATAGTACAATCTCACTGGACTTGTGTAGCATGGTACAGGGATGAAGCCATGTATTTCTTGTCAATATACTAAACTATAGGGTGTGACTAGAATGTGTGGGATTTTTGAAGACTGAAATTTACTGATACTTCAAGGCATAAGTTTTTATATTTTATTATTGAAGATGTGTTTCTAAAAATCATCATCTCTTTCCATGAATGGAGAGAAATGTCAGTGGGGCATCAGGCAATACATACGCTGGCATTTATCCAGCATTCATAGCCAAATGTCATGACGACCAACAGTCTGGATCAATAGATCAACTCTTACTACTGCTCCATGAAGCAGGCACAAATTATCTTCTCACACACTTTCTGAAAATCTGGCCATGGAGAAGTCAGGTGACTGATTTAAGGTCACCTGGTTATCCTCTTCAATGTTTGGCCTTACCTTTCTAGGTAAGAGGTTGTTCAAAGACTGAGAAAGGACAGAGTCCTACAAAGCAATCTGCCCTTATTCTGGAATATGAGAAGGTGAAGTTGCATCATGAACATGGCAAAAGGTTCAAACTTTGAAAACATTTTCTGATGAGCAGCACAAAACAGAATTGTAATATAAATACCAATTCTTTTTACAAGATTCTGTTTATCAAAGCATCCTAGCAAACATCCAGTTAGACGGACTTAGTACTCTGCCTACCATGTATCATTTGAGTGACATCTAAGAGTCAGTGCTGATGAACACATTGGCCTGGTACCCAGGAAGACTTTAATGAGTAGAAATCTATTCTGCCTCCCATTTCTATCAGTGGAAAGGTATTTAGAAAATGTAACATATTGAATATTTTAGAAACATAACAAAACTGGCTCCTTTGCTAAAACATATTTTTTTTGTTACAGAATTATCAGACTTCTCATAGTCAAGACAAACAAATCTTCAGGAAATGCCCTACACTGACCTAAAGATATACTATTTCATTGTTAATATTTGGAATATTAGATCTGTAGGAAGATTAAGAAATGTCAAGTTCTATGGACAAACTGAAGAGTTAAAATAGAACCAGAAAGGGTTTTTGAGACCTGCTCTAGAGAAAGGGAAGGAGGGAAGACTGGAAGTGGTTGAAGACAACAAAGAAAATGACTCACAGGGGGAACAAAACCTAAATATTCACATGGTTTAAAAAAGATCACGAGACCTAAATAATACACTTGTGCCATCCGAAACTAGAAAGGCTTGATCTAAAACTGAGAAGAGTGTTAGAAGTGATGGGCTAGCACGGTGGCAACGCACAGGGAAAGACCAGGTGACTTCGCAGCACTCTTGACTCCTTTGGCCACATACAATCCAGAGCCCATAAAACTGCTTTCCATTTTTAAAACTTGTTTTGTTTGTTTTATACAGCGTAGGCTGTTCTTCAATTCTGTAGGCTCTTCTTCCCAGGAACCCAGTCCATTAAGACTTAAGAATTTTAACGGTACAAGTCAGTTGCTGGTTTCCTGGTTTACAGAAAGCAAAGACTCAATTCTTCTGGTTGTTCTGTCCCCTAGCCTTATCCATTTCTTGAATCTTGCTTCTGGTAAGCTGAATGTGCCTTATTGGTTTGACCTAAATCTATTGGCCAGGATAGTTGTGTGAGACCCCACCTCTAGGCATATATAGAATACACACCTCAGAAGAGAAAGACGAGTCTCTAGAAGCCAAAGAAGATACATTATAAGGAGAGAGAATGAGAATATGGGTCAAACAGCAGCACGAAAAATTTAGGTCAGGTAAAATGTTTTATTACTTAGGGTTTAATAAGGGGTCAATATGAATTTTTATGTTCTGGGAATATGAAAGAATGGCTAACTATTTGGAAAGATAAAACACTGTCATGGGAAGGCTCACTTGCTGCGTGTCTCATTTTCAAACTAGTAAGGACTCTTTCTGAAAAACACCTAAATTACCAAAGCCTTCTTGACTAAAATTGCACACAAAATGTACAAGCAGATAGATCACAAGTGGGAAAGCCATTGTTACCGCTTCTCATAGTTAATGAGATGCTTTAAGACAAGAAGGTGAGTCACTGTGTTATGCAAATGGAACCTGTACTCAATGAATTCATCTATACACCACACACCATTCTCAACCCTTCCACTATAGCCTCATTAGGAATTAGTAGTTGTCAAGGTATCGCCCCCCCCCACGTCTCCTTTTTTCCTAGTGAGGGGGGAAGATTTACTGCCACCCAAAACAAGTGTAACAGTTGTCAAGGTGGAGCAGCTTACAAAAAAGGTGAACCAGGGATCAATACAGTTTTAGCCAATGCCTGAAGCTTGCCAGTGCCTTAAGTCTTTCTTATGTGAGGCTGGAAGGATGAGACAGAAGCACTGTAGTACCTTTTAGAAAAATTAGGATGCACGAAGCATCCCAAACAGCTAGCCTCTAGAGCAAACAGACATCACATACTTTAAAACAAATGATTCTAAGAGGCTATCAGTAAAGATTTATGCTGTTAAAGGAGATTTCGCTCCTGAAAATTTAACAACAGATTTTACAGCCGCATTTTTAAACCAAGGCTCTCCAGGCATACATGATTCATCAGTATGCCGTCAATGATCTTTCTTTACAAGTAAAACTCAACACACATTTTGGTACTCTATGAAGACTCGAATTTGAAATTCAATCATAAAAGCTCTGATTTCCCCTTTTAAGGTACTGACCATGTGACAATATTTAGAACTTATTAATAACACATTTAAAGAGAAGTGTTTGTGTGTTAATGAGTGTGGATATCTCTAACAGTAGTGCTTTAGCAGATGGGTGTGTTTTACCTTGGTGAAAAGGTTAATATCATCATTTCACAAACTTTTCAGTTTTCAAATTTTTGAATAACTTCTAAATTTAAAAACTCCAATTTACTCAGTGAAGGAAATACTCATTTATACCTTACACCTACAAACATTATTCATTTGAAAAGACACCATTAGTACATATGATAATCATTAACGAGTTACTCTTTTACCCTGAGTATGAGGTAATCTCTTTTTAAATAAAATATTAATGTAATTACACCCAGAATCTATTTCTCATATAAATGAAATAATTGATAAATCAAATTATATTTCTAAAAATTTAACACTACTTTCCAAAACAATGTTCTTCTTGAACATATCTTCAGCAGATGCAAGTCAAGAAAATGCTAGCAGAGTTACCACAGATCATTTGGACTCACTTAAAACACATAGCCTGTATGTTCCAAGTGGAATTACAGAAATACAGACAAAACTGCCATGAGTTTATCAGGAAATGAAAATGTGTAATTTGTATATGATGGAAGAGGAAGAAGTTTGAAGATTCCCTCACCTACCCAGAGCACAGCTGTCAAAACTCCAGAACACATAACTCTGGCCTTGCATGTCAATCCCAGCCATTCTCTTGGGACATCCTAAAACACATTTCCCTTAATCACCTGTGCCAAGAGTAAAGGCCTGAGAATACAGTGTAATCAGCTCGGAATACAGGTAAGGAAGAAAAGCATTAATGGGTTTGGAGGAGTTACTGTATGTTTAGCAATAAAATACTAAATCAAGCAATGCTATCATTTCTTGACATCAACATGTAAATGAACAAATTGATTAAAAGAAAATATGCAAAACAGGGCTGGATATACCAGATCATTCTTTGTGATTTAACAATGAGAAGAAGAAAAGCTATTGGGAAAAATTCAGAAGTCCCTTGAAAATAAGTAGTACAAATGATGGAGGGCTAACATCAAACATTCTTACCTTGGGCAGGGTCAGGTGGACCAAACTCCAGAGAATACCGTAAAATAAAGTTATTATTCCATACGTAGAGCTGGTTGTCTCTGGGATTGTAATCCACTGCAGCAATGTACTGATACTGGTTGGGGAAAGGGACATCCACATATTCTCCCCGGCTTAACCGCGTGTTGTAAATGTAATCAATTGTGTTCTTGCCTGCTTCACTTTCGTTGTCTTGGTACACTGACCTCACCACGTAGAGAACTCCGCATATCATGAAAGCATTGGATGCTGCACGCTTGTCATATACCGTCTCCCATGTTGCTTCGAATCGAAGAGTGTATGGATTTAGCTGGCTAATCACTATCATTCCATTGTTCTGCTCGGTAGCATAAATGACCCATAAGCCATTTTCATCCACTGCCAGGTCAATATCAGTCTTCCCTCCCCATCTGTAAGGTGATGTATCATGGTAGTTGGCATAGTTGATTATGGCCTCACCACTCTTAATTCTAGTCCTCAAGTCAAATTTCACAATATTTCTTGTTCTTTCTTTGTTAAAGAAGACAGCTCCATCATATACCACAAATCCAGTACCATCTACTCGGTTTGGAAGTTTGTATGTTGTTGTCTGGCGGCTGTTTTGAAAATCTTCTAAAGAAGCATATTCTATTAAAGTATCGGTGCGGTAAGGAGTCCAGGGCATAAAATAAATTTTATCTGCAGCCTGAAGAGGGTCCTTGCACCAAGCACCTGCCTTTTGCTCAGCTTCATATATACATGGTGAGTCCACAATTGCTTTCAAGGTCCCAGGACACACAAAAACTAACAGTCACAGAAAAAAAGACAAGAAGTGAACAGTTTTAAAAAAAGGACAAAGGTAATCACACATATTATTAATTACATATCAAAAGAGGAAAATCCATTTTGTTTAGCATTAAGCTTTTAGAAGTTTATATTTTTACGTGCTAGCCTTGTTTTCCAAAGATTTTCTAATCAAGTTTCCAGCGTACATAATAGCTGGCATTTATTTTCACAAATACAAACCTACATTTGGGATCACTCATAACTAAGATAAAATTTAGATTTCTGACTTGTGATTTTACTTAATAATTTGGTAATGCATGCGTCAAATCTTGGAACCTGTGCTTAAGAGTGGATAAGTATTTTATTCCAACCCAAACATTATGACTTCTAACCCTCATACACCTTTAACACCTCCCACAAAATAAGGCTAATGAAGCAGAAAACTCAATGCAAAGACTCATTTTGAACTTTTTATAGAAGTTACAGGTGCTTCAAGTTGGAGAATATAAATTTTAGGAAAATGCAATCGGGAGTAGAGAAAAGTCAACACAGGGGAAGCATGATGAGATGACCAGGAGACCCTGTAACCATGGCATGCTACGGAGAGGGTTCTGGAAGCCAGGCAAGATGACACTTCAATAACAAGAAAATATCCAAGGGTGTCAGAGAAAGAGATAGAGGGTAGAAAAGAAACAGAAAGGGTAGCGCCCCTTCGCCGACTTCAGAATTTACCCCATCGCCAGATTAGCAGCCATACAATTTCATTGTGAGCAGCTGACGCCTTTATGAGGTGCATTATGAGGTCCTGCTGATCATTTTAATACAGGAGCGTTGCAGGGGAGGGGAGGGAGGAGGGTCACATCCATAAGGCACATAACAGGGAGCTGGGGTTGAGACTGTGCACATTATTTACCTTTTTGCTCCACTTCTATTTTAAGCATCGGAAGGAAAATAAAAAAAAAGTGCAAGGAAAAAAGAAAAAAGATTAAAAATAAATTGACTATTAGTCTAAGATTGAATTCGTAATAGATGCTAAATATAGGAAGAATAAGGAAGTTGTACTACTTTGGATAAAGAGAAACACACAGGAGAACCTAGCAGGAGAGAGATTCTAAAGTTACATAAAAGAACACGGATCAATCATTTTAGAAGATTAAGGAGGCAAGACAAATAAGTTGGCATGCTGCTTCACTTAGTGTGCCTGAATAAATAATGAAACTCTTCACTAATGCAAGCTAAACATACTCTTGCCTTGCCAAAGCCAAGCGGCCTTCTGACCAAGTTTTCCTTTATATATGTACACTACAGACATAAAAGCATGCACAGCTGTGTCATCTCCATTTGGTCTGTGTGAGCTTAATTATCAGGCTGACTGTAATGATATCAGCATGGCAGGAAAATATATGTATAAGACTGACAACAAAACAACTTTGGAGTTTAAGCCAAATTTAATAACTATTGAGATGACTAGATTTCCCCAAAGATATTTAGATGACAAGTAACTACACAGTCATGCATCTCAGTATATTTCAATTATTGTTCTATTATTTCCTATTTTTAGAAAAATCCATCTTAACCATTTAGCAAAATGCCCCCTTTCCAGGAATATATAAATCTCCCTTCACCCAATAGGGGGTTTGAAGGGGTAGATAATGCCCATTACGTATTAGCAAATTTACTTTTTTAAGATTGCATATAGTTTACATTACAAAATTCTAATTTAATTTTCTATATCATATATAATATGCATTATCAAACTTGTAATATTAAGTCTATTAAAAAAAAGTAAGCAAAATACATACAAGGGAAAAGCAAGCACAGGTGGCAGGGAGGAAAAGGAAGAAAGAATCATGGTTAGCTCATTATGACATTGTCTTGACCATCATTTATTAACATATAAAGCAAGCCAGCATGCAACAACTGTCACACCCAGCATTCACATCCAATGTCTCCCTCCACAGACCTCGTGAAAGGGGAGGGCTTTCACAGGGCAGACCTGGCCCGGGCAGGACATGAGAGGAAGTGTAGGGAGAAACCCTAAGTGGGTTAGCACCAGGGAAGGTGCAACATGATTCTAGTTGACAGGTAGTCTCCTCCAACGAGGGCACACACAGTGCAACTCTGAGATTCAGTGCAGCCTCTCAAGTATGTTGCCTGAGTATTAAAAAACAACTCCACTGATGCTGTGTTTCCTCTTCTTCCCTTTCAAAATGCACCACAGTGTGCGACTACTGATTATTCAGAGTGTAGTTGCACATTTTATTACAATCTCAGCTTGATTACATATTTTTTAGAAGTATAATTATTCGTCAAGATAAAACAGTGACCTTCTGGAACTCCTTTGAGAGAAACATCACACAAATATTTAAAAAAATTTTTTTTGCCATAGCAACAGCATATAATTTCTAAATTAAGCTATAACCTGCTTAACCAACATGGTCTGTTTAAGCACTTTCAGGAAACACACTTGTTCTGATTGGTGTGCTTCTGACTGTGTAAGGGAAAACAGGACAAGTGCAGTGTGCTGTTTGGGAAGCAACACTTGTTCTGTAGCACTTGGACCTAAGATCACTCCTCCATCAGGAGCACATTGTACCTGCTCAGAATCAATAATGGACAGGCATGGTGGAGAAGGAGGGGAAGAGAGAGCATTAGTGTGGAGGACGTTCAGACTGCATTTACAGACAGCTGCATTGTTCCTTAAGGAAACAATGATTTTACTCACATAAAGCAATTAGGTGTAAAGGAGAGGATTAATACTTCTTATAATGCTTACTTATTACAAGAGAACTTTAAAGCAGTTCAATAAAAAAATTAAGGAAATGTATTTTGTATTGTCCATTCAGTGAAGATGACTGAATTATTTTTATTTGAGGGGGTAAAATTACAGTGCAGTCACTGAGCAAAACATAAACAGAAATTACTTCATTTGTTAATGATTTAAACCATATCATGTAAATAAAAAGTAAATGGGTATTAATTTTATACAATTTATAATTCCAATGAAAACTGAGAAAATACATCCAAAGTCAAAAATTTTCTAAAATAAAATCTTTGATGATTGATGGATGAATCCTTCAAAGAAAAAAAACTCCATATAAAGATTTTTATGAAATCAAAAAGGCAGATATCTATCAGATCAGCCAAAATTCTATCTACCAGAAGAATATAAAAATACAGTAAAATTAACAATGATCTGGATTCATAATCATATGCCTATATAAGCAATTTGTCTTAAGATATTCAATGAATTTATAAGGATATACTTAATATTCTATGAACCAAACATACATGTACACACCCACCAACATCAGCAGAGGACTCCAAGGATTTACAAGACAGAAAACAGACCCAAATTGACTACAGCCTACATACTCTGTATCTGAAGTGACACACTATTTCATTTGAAATAATCTCACATTTATTCATTGATGGCAATTTAATTAATCAACATGAATACAATTTATTCATCAAATGAGAGAACTTTTAGGTAACATTAGGATAAAATCCTTACATACTGTGGCAATTTGAAATAAGTAGGCACAAGATTGAAAAAGTCATGCCTGCTTATAGGATGTGAACTCCAGTCTGAATAATCCCCTTTCCTCCAAGGTCCCTAATGACTTTTTAATGTTCACTTGCATGCTGTGATACCTACATTCCGTACACAATAAAGCATGCCCTGCGTGTGTGTATGTGTGATTTTGATACAGAAGTTACCTGGACAAATGTAAAAGGGCACATACAATGTACCTGCCTGTTTGCAAAAGAAACCAAAGAGTGGCATTTCTAAGTTCTCTACCGAATGAATTTATTGCCATTTTCCTGAAGTCATGGAAAGTCTTTGAAATCGTTGAGAACAGGACGGAGCACTTTGGAGTCTATGAGGTTCCTGAAGTATTTGTTATAGATGGAGATTGGCATTAAGCCAAGTGGTAAGGCATGTATGATAAACTATATATGATGGTGACATCTAAATAATGTGAGAAAGGGGTAAGTAAATGCTACAGAAAAGCAAATAAATTGTTAAAACAAGGAATAGTGAAAGCTGGACCTTTAAAATAAAAGTGAATGTGAGGACAGGCTATCACAGACAGGAGCATAAGGGAAGCGAAGAGGGGAGAATGGGGAGCAATGAGGATATGCAAGGCTAGAATAACCTAAGAATGCTCTGCATGACATTTTCACATGGGCTGCAACCATGTGGCTTATAGTGTGTCACTGCTGTACGGTATATAGGAATGATAACCACTTCTATTCTTCAAAAAGGAAAACAGTCATAGACTTATTTCTGCCTCTTGCAAACTCTAGAAAGGCAACAGGAAATTAATTACTGGGTTTACTTTTTATTTTGAAGGACAAAAACTAAATAAAAAAAAAAGAACAAATACTTCTCTGAGTACAGCTATTTGCAAGTTTAGTGCACAATATACAATACTTCTGGAGAACTGAAAAAGTAAAATTTTGAAAGTTAGACGTTCCAGAAGATATCCACATTTTCCTTTCTTAAACAGCGCAAGAAATTACTTAAGAGTCTGAAAGTAATATTTGCTTAACACTGTTCTTGGTGTCTTAGACTAGGTTACAGGGACGGGGTTGCAGAAAGACAATTCTTGACAGCTCTGACTGATTCCACTGTTTGGGAGTGGATGCTGTATTCCTTGTCTAATTTGAGGACAGAAACCAGGCTGAATTCAAGGGAGAGGGACTTCGTGGAACAAAAATTTTGGTTAGCTCAAAAGAATGCAATGTTCCTCGAGTGGCACAGGAGAGATTAAGTAAAGCCATCGCACTACACAGGAGCAACGCTTTAACAGATCGGCTCACTCGGGGGCTTCCAATCCTACAAATGGTACAGAAGATACTGAAAACACAAAGCGCATCCACCGTTTCACGGAACACAGGAACACAGAGCGGGCACGAGAAGAGAAAGATAATCTGTGTTTGGCCTTTAACTGACACCACACACACACACACACACACACACACACACACACACACACACACACACAATTTATCAAAATTGTGGCAGAGAGGACAGAGAGTCTCTTCACGGCATATGCTACAATGTGTTATCATCTTTTTGGATCTGCCTTATTTATCAGAATTTGGCCTTTCGGTATTTCTATGTTGAGATGGGGTCTCCCTATGTTGCCCAAGACGGCCTCAATCATCCTGATGCCTCTGCCTACAAGGAGCTGGGATTATGGTCACACATATACAACAGCATCTAGCTCCAACTGTTTGGGATTTTTTTGGTTGTTGGTGTTTAGGCTTAAAGTATAGAAAAATTTCTGAAATCAGTGAAAGTACTGATCTAACACTCTCACTTCAAATGCCTCTGCACTATTGTGATATTAATTTTTCATTCAACTTTAAAAACAGCAGAAGAAGAAAAAGCACTTCTGAACTAGCTTGTGACAATTAGGCAATGCATGCGAATGTTTAGGTTGTCTAAACTACTAAGGTATCTTCTCCCCTATCCAATGTATGAAATATAATCGTCGAGAAGTACGCACTCTGTTACTGGAGGGAAAATGCTGGCACCTATTTATAAAATTTCCAATTGGATTTTAAGTACTCCTGCAAGATTTTAAACATGATGCTATCAGTTTAAAAGTAGAAACAGGTACAAGACTTCATTTTTTTGTCTGTACTCTTGGCTTTGTTTTAAGCAAGAAGATTTCCTCACCGAATCTGTTTAAAAAAAAAAACAAAAAAAAAAACCCTTCCTTCCAGGACATGGAAGAAAGGGGACAGCTCTTGCCTCAGTTTCGGCTCTGGTAGCTTTTCCCAAGCATTCACGTTACCACGACAGCAGGTAGCCATTCAAATCCTTCACGATTAAACTGAAGTCAATTCCTTTTTCAGAAAACTGTGAGCCAAACCAATTTGTCAGCAACTGGTATTGGGCAAAAGTACAGATTTCTATCTGCCCTATTGAATAGCTAATTCAAGTTTGTTTTCTGGAAAAACACTAGCCTTAAAAGCCAAACACTTAAGAACACAGACAGACACTTGGCCAGCATCACACTATGGCTTCCTTCCACACTTCATGAAGCTAATTGGAGTCCCGAGTCTGGGAGCGCTTTGCATGCATAATGGTTTTGTAGGCCATAAACATACGCTTCTTTCACATGTGTAGTCTTTCAGCTCCAACAAGGAAGGCTGGAGAAAGGAGAAAACACAAACTTCATACTTACTGTAAGGGACACATTCATATTGAACTTCAAGGTACTTGTAAGTTCCGGGACATGGATCAGGAAATACATCTGACCCAGTAACTACTACACACTGCGTTCGATTGTTGCACCTGGAAAACAGAACCAATCAAGCCTGTGAAACAATGTACTTCTTTTCTACTTGAGGAATATAGTGATATACTATAGAACATATTTGTGAACCAAAAAATGCAGGTGAAATTAGATGGCGTTATAAAACTCCTATTTTCTTTGTTTTGAATTTCTGTATCAAGGGTCACACTAAAATGTAAGTAGAAGTGAAAAGAAGATAGTTGACAGTCTTCAAATACACTGTTACGTTTTAATTTTCATCATATCCAATAGGTCCAGGGAGACAGACCAACCAGGCCACTTGGTAACATATTTAAGAATTAAAAATTACAACCAGAAAAAGGTACAATCAAACACAGGGTGATAAACTGAACAGCTAAGCGGGAAGTTGTCACAGCATACCCAAACACATGTCGACCCAGATTTTAGCCTCGACATCCAGTTTGTGCTATATGTTCCACCACAAGCACTGTCTACACTCAGGACTATGAGGCACGTGTAGCCCTTCCCACCCTGCACGGAGAGGCCTGCATACATGACAGGGGCATGAGAGGCACCCAGCAGAGCGCCGGGAACATAGTGAATGTCTAAGCACTGTTGCCGCTTTTCACAGAAGCCGTGCTTCTGTCTGTGATGTGACTGTGTACCCAGTTCTACACCGGGATGTTCTGAAAGTTAATATTAAAAACAATCCTATGAACACAATCCCTAAAATGTCCTACATATTACTCTGCGGAAGTATTCACTGTTGTTCTCGTCATTAAGTCATCAGGGATACTGGAATTAAGCAGTAACTGGTATTCCAGGCAGGATGATGCCTGAGTTACATAAATGGGCCCAGATGTTCTTCTCTTAAGCTTTGTAAAGGCAAGAACTATTTCTTTTATAATTTGATTTGATTACAGCCCAGTGGAATGGAATGTTTGCAGGGGTTTCATTACACTTCTTGATAGTATATACATTAAGAAGGCAAAGCAAGCAGAACCAGGGCATTATTATAAAATTTATTCAACAATTTGAATACCAAATATTCTATGGTGCATAAAATAACCGAAGTATAAAATAGCACTGTAAAGCAGTCTGAGGAAAGTAGACTAGCTCCCAGCACAAAGAACCCCGGGATGGTGGGAAGCAGTCACATTAATGAGGGAGACATGTTAAGTTACCCACACTGGTATCACTGCAACTCAAAACCCTGGAGAGCTGTCCTGAAGAGAAGCAAAGCATGAAAGGTCTACAAGATTAAATGGCTACATTTTTTTTTAAATTCAAGACATATTACAGTGAGCTTCAGTGACTCCACAATATTGAATAAATTGTAACTAAGATTGCAATAATACGTTGTAAACATTAAAACAGTTAACTTTGATCTCAGTCTCTGAGACATATAGTATTTTTTAACACATCCTGTCCCATAAATTTCAAGACCTTGGATGACATAAATGTTACATCTCTTACAACACGATGTTTTGTTTTGCTCTTTCGTTTTTTTTCCCCACTCATTTGAAGAAACTGCCTATGGTTCACCACTCAATAAAATGAATTATTTTATCACGAATCATAGAAATAATTTTGTATTAAAAAATTTAAAACAGAGGGTAGATTTGCTATTTCTCAATGTGTCAATATCAAATGTTTCAACTCCTCTAGAAACACAATTCTGACCTTTCATTTTTCTCTTTCCTGCTATAGCAGTAAGAAATGTCAGTGTTCCCTAAACCTCACTTGATCTTCTGGGAATCCTCAGCTCTACTCTAGTCCCCATAAAAACTCCTCTGACATCCTCTTTTGTACTTATTCATATCTACAGGGGTCATCCTTATGCTTCATGCTCTCATTTCTCAGAAAGCAAGAAAGGTAAACTTCTACATGTTAAACTTATCTTTCATACTCTCCACTGTATATATTTCATAATCACTCAAACATATTCTGCGATTTATTTTCTAAGGGCCTGAAATGTACTTGTAGGAATCCCATAAAATAACAATTCAGGGAGTAAACGAACTTTACATATAGCACTACTTCCCCTTTTTACTGAGGGTTTCTTTCACATCACTAAATTAGAAGAAGCAGAAAGCGAGTTTGTATTGAGGCCGAAATGCATTAAGAATGTGAGGGTTTGGAAAGAAAGTGAAAGCACATATAGTTAAAAAGTCTTGTGATTTATATAATTTTGTGAAAAATAAAAAATATAGTGACGCTGGAGAGATGCCTGCGGGTTAAGATTGCTTCAGGCTCTTCCAGAGCCCTGAGCTCTATTCCCAGAACCCACTTCAGGTGATTCATGACCACTTGTAACTCCAGCCCCAGAGGACTGGACAACTGCTCTTGGAGTGCGTGTGAGTGCGCGCGCGCGCACACACACACACACACACACACACACACACACACACACACACACACACACACTGTCTTAAAAATGAATATATGAAGACTGGGTGTTTAGCTCAATGGGATCCAGCATACTTAAATCTGTACAAGGTTTGGTGTTCAGTCTGCAGCACAGAAAGGGGGGAAGGGGAGCAGGGAAGAAAAAGAGATTGAGAAAAGTTAGAGTTTTGGATTTTAGACTAATTCAATGGAGTCACTAAGAAGTGGAACTTAATTGTGAACAGGATAATATAGTCATAGTTGTGGTCACCAGCATCTTTATTCAGAGACAAATGAAAGCTTTTGGAGGTTCAAATGCAGCCCCAGTTGGGCTCAAGAGAAAAATACCCAGTATGAGTTCTCAATATGAGAAAAAATCTGGCAGTTCATTAACCTGTGTGCTGTGGGGAACACCATAAAACTGGAAATTGCTATAATTGAAAAAATCAAGAATGAGAAAGCAATTACTTAGCCACAAAAGAAAAGCAAATTCCTACCAAGGGCTCAGTCAGCTTTCAATGTTCATTGCCATGGAAATAACAAGGCAGCATAAGCCAAGAAATGAATTTAATTCTGGAGTCTGGGTCCACATAGGGCGGAGATCGAGCTTGACTCTCCCTTTCCCCACATAAAGACCTGTCTGTATGAGTAAAGTTGTTGCTGCATAAACAATTAAAAGATTGATATATTTTGGTAACACCTTGTGGATTTTCAATGTTAATAACCCAGATAGTAATCACAAAATGAATATAAGTAAGACAAAGATATAAGAGAAAATGGGTTTCCTATAAAATAGACACTGGATTAATATTTGAAGAACTTTAAATACTGTTTATCACACAGAAATGGATTCTGGACATACTTTAAACATTTCAATTCCAAATAATGGCACTTGGGCTGTTCTGTAGTGATGAAGATACAGGGATACTAAAGACAGTTAAAGCAGCGGCTATCAGAACTTGGCCCTTAGAACAGGATCAATATCAAACGAGAGCTTGTAGGAAAGGAAAATGGTCACAGCCCACCCAGAAGGAGGGGAATCCAGTGCTGGGGAGACCCCAGCGTAGTTTTAAATACCAGGAAAGTGTGTCTCATTGCTCTGAACTCCACTGAAACAAAACATGGTAAGTTTAAATATTTCAGAAAAATATAAAAGATCATAGAAACAAGACAGAAAATAAATAGTATGATCTATTCAGGCATGTAATTACAGCTTGCAATGCCAATCTATCCTGCTTGGTCCTGGAGTCAAATGTTTCTGTTGTGCCTATTTTGAGCAGGCCTTACAATTATTTATTGGTGAATCACAGTAAATAAAACATCTAAGTACTTGCATACTGTTGTTTGAATCTTAGATGGTCTTTTAAAAAACAAAACAAAACAAAACAAAACAAAACAAAAAAATCCTGAGCCAGATATTGGGGTAATTGCTAAAAGATCAGAGAGACAGAACAGCCAGCCATTAGTTCTTACCTCTATGAAACCCTCAGCCTAAAGAGAGTGAGTTCCTGTTCCTCCGGCCTTATATACCTTTATCTGCCCTGCCATATTACTTCCTGGGATTAAAGGTATGTGTGCTTCCCAAGCAAAGGCATGAGATCTCAAGTGCTGGGATTAAAGGTGTGTGCCACCACTGCTGGCTCTGTTTCTCTCCTATACTGGATCAATCTCATGTAGCCCAGTATGGTCTTGAACACACAAAAGATCCAGATGGATCTCTGTCTCCCAAGTGATAGGATTAAAGGTGTATGACACCACTGCCTGCTCTCTATGTCTAATCTAGTGACTGGTCCTATGACCCTCAGGCAAGTTTATTAAGGTACATAATATATCACCACAGCATATGACTCATATAAACCTATTTTATAGGCAGGAAAAAAGGAATATCCTTTTCCTAAAAGTTTGTTTCATAATTGAAATTCTTTTCATTCATTAAATGTGAAATTAAGATTTTTGACAATCTATAAAAATAGGCTGTATTCCACAGACAGATGTAATTTAAAACAAAAAAAAAATTAAATCCATTGCTATTGTCTCAGTATTTTGTCTGACCTAATCAATCAAATAAATATGGTGCCTAAATCCTGAGAAGGTATAAATGTAACTATCTAGAGTGGACTCATGAGGGAATAATGTCTACTAAACTTAGGAGTATAGAAACACTGTGCATAGTGCCATGAAAATAATACAGATGTGCTTAAACACCCCTTCCAACATTCAAAATAGTTACTTATATTCTTCATTACGTTAAATTACTCTGATATATCACCTTGGTCTAGGGTAGGGTTCAGGGGTAGAGTTCCTCCTCGGATTATGTGAAGCCATGGATTTAATCCGCAGCATAGCAACACCAAAACTAAATAAAAAACCCAGCCTGTTTATTATTTTTGTATTGTTTCTAATCACAAACATCTGACTAAAATATTAAGAGGTTTTTCTACATATATATATATATATATATATATATATATATATATATATATATATATATATATAGAGAGAGAGAGAGAGAGAGAGAGAGAACATCATACCAAACCAGAAATTTCCACATGAAATTAAAACAAATCCAATAATAAATGCTTCAAAACATCACCACATGCAAATAAGAAAGAGGGTCATTATATTAATGACCGACATTAATATTGAAAAT